GACACATACGTTTGGTGTCTCCTGTCAAAATATGTATGTGAAACTGTAAAATGTGTTAGCTTGCAAAAGGTAAAATCTCAGACCGATTACAGTCTCTGACAGAAACAGGCCAAGGGATTAAAAGAGAATATTCAGAAAAATTGCCAAAGAACTTGGTGGGGAAAGCTAAGCCATGTTTGGCAGGAATTTTGTGCAATTCACTAGTCCCACAGAGCCAGCCTCCGAGGGGCTCTTGGAATGTTAATGATGTGGTTAAAAGTCTGATACCCTGAAAGATGCCACCTTGGCATTGAGAAAAGGGATGTAGCAAGGCCACTCCCATTTCCTCCTCACCCATTTCCCCTGAAGCCAATCAGAATGGTCCCCTCAGAAGCACAGAGGAAGAGAACCTCCCCTCATTAGGACAGAGAAGAATTTGGCTTTGCAAATCTCCCTCAGTTTGTTACCATTCTATCAACTCTCTTTGTGCAGGGTAGTTTTTTGCCAGCTCCTCTGAGACAGCCTCAATTGAGAAGATACCTCCAGAAGATTGGGCTGTAAGCAGGCAAACCTGTAGGGCATTTTCTCCCCCCCCCCTTCCTTCCTTCCTCTCCCTCCCTACTTATTTTTGAGACAAGATTTCTCTCTGTAGCCCTGGCTGTCTTAGAACTCACTTTGTAGACCAGGCTGGCCTTAAACTCATATCTGCCTGCCTCTGCCTCCAGAGTGCTAGAATTAAAGGTGTGCACCACCAATGCCAGACCTAGTAGGGAATTTTCTTATTTAGTGATTGATGGGGGAAAGCCCTGCCTATTGTGGATGGTGCCACCCCTGGCCTGGTGGTCGTATAATAAAGCAGGCTGAGCAAGCCATGAGGAACAAGCCAGTAAGTAGCACTCCTCCATGGCCTCTGCATCGGCTCCTGCCTCCAGGTTCCGGCCTAGTTAGAGTTCCTGCCTTACCTTCCTTCAGTGGACTGTGACTTGGGATATGTAAACCAAGTGAATGCTTTCCTCCCCATGTTGTTTTGGTCACTGTGGCTTCATCACAGTAACAGTGACCCTGACACTCTTCATCCAGTCACAACGCACACATGTCCACATACTTTTCAACAAACCTAAGTATAAAATGATTTACCTCTTTACTTGTTTCTTTTTATCTTCATTTCCTTATGAAAGTTTCTGTGTCCTGTAAATTTCATATTAAAATATATACACAATAGACTCTAGACATGGATCAGTGGTTAAGAGCACTGACTGCTTTCCCAGAGGAACTAGGTCCAATTCCTGACACCCACATGCTGGCTCACAACTGTCTGTGACTCCAGTGCCCGGAAATCTGACAACCTTTTCTGACCTCCATGGGAACTAAGCACATTATAAAATAAAATGCATAACGGGGGTGGGGGGGCACGTGCCTTTAATCCAAGCACTAAGGAGGCAGAGGCAGGTGGCTATCTTTTGAATTCAAGGCCAGTCTGGTCTACAGAGCTAGTTCTAGGACAGTCAGGGCTACACAGAGAAACCCTGTCTTGAAAAACAAAAAGTAAAAAAAAACAAAAAACAAAACCAAACAAAAAGTAAAGAAAGTGTACACCTGTAAGCCCAGCACTTGGGAGGCAGAGATAAGAGGACTGACAGTTTGAAGCTAGCCTGAGCTACATAGTGAGACCGTGGTGAAAAGAAAGGAAAAGAAAATGGAAGAGAGGAACTGATGGAGGCAGGGGCGCAAGCCTACTGCTGGTGAACTCACCTTTGCCAGCAGGGCCTCAGCCACAGCCTTGTGATTGTGAGGAAAGCTCGCTCTCCTCCGTAAAGTCCCTGCTGCTCTCATGTGAGCCCACCCTCCTCCCTGTCTGTGGAGTGGAAAGGAGCAAGTTGAATGTTGCCTTAGCCAAATTTCAGCCTCTTAGTCACTTTCACTTTTGATAGACAGCGGCAGTTGGTGTTACCATTGTGTTCATATTACAGCAGGGCGGTCACCCAACACGCATCCCACCTGACTAAATCTGTCACTCCCAATTCCCTCTCAGTTTATACCCTTGGGGAGGCATTGGAAGAATGGTGCACTGGGCTGTGATAAACACTATAATGCAACACACCAAGGCTTGAATTGACTCAACTTCTCGCTTACACTCACTAGGCTACTGACACACTTATTTTCATCTCCGGAGGTAATAAAAGCATCCTTTTCTTTTTCTTTTTAATTTTTTGTGCAGAAGTTTTCCTCTTTAACTGGCCAGTTTTCGCCTTAGGCTAAACATTAATTTGGCTATTTTGCTTATACGATAGCTTGGGAGTTCTTAGGGAAAATTCTTGAAATAATGTGCTAATGTCAAATGAAATTACATGAATAGCTGTTTTAGGTGGATATCCAGGAAACACTAGCTTTTTCTGATTTTCCAAGTCCCTGCTGGTTTCTTTAAGAGTTATGTTAAAGTTTTTTTTTTACTTCTGTAACCAAATACCTGAGAGAAACAATTTAAATGAGGAAAGATTTTGTTGTTTTAATCCCTCTACATGGGATTAAAATCTTGCACAAATGGCCAGCCAGTGGCACACGCCTTTAATCCCAGCACACAGGAAGCAGAGGCAGGTAGATCTCTGAGTTTGAGACCTGCCTGGTCTACAGAGAGTTCCAGGACAGCCAGGGCTACTCAGAGAAACCCTGTCTTGAAAAAACAACACACACACACACACACACACACACAGAGAGCGAGAGAGAGAGAGAGAGAGAGAGAGAGAGAGAGAGAGAGAGGCTGACTCAGGACTGAATGATGCCTAGTAGCTCAACAGTATTACTAAAACAGTTGACTGTTTCATTTAGGGCTGGGATGCTGCTCAGTCCCCAGCAGACATACAAAACCAACACAAATTCCTGCACTTTGGGCTGGAGCAACGGCTCAGTGGTTAAAAGCACTGGCGCTTCCAGAGGATCCAAGTTCAATTCCCAGCACCCACATGGCAGCTCTGTATGCTACATACCCACAACTGTATGTAACACCACTTTAGGGGATCTGACACCTCTACACAGACACATTGTAGAACACCAATGCATATTAAAAATATTTTTTTAAATCCCTGCTTTTGTTTTGTTTTGCTTTTGCCCCAAGCCTGTCCTGGAACTCACTCTGTAGACCTGCCTCTGCCTCCCGTGTTCTGGAATTAAAGGCGTGTGCCACCAACACCCGACTTTTTTCTTTTTGTAAATCCCTGCATCATTTTATCTGTTGTGACTTCTGTGTCCTCTGGGTGGTGCCCTCCAATGAGTCACTGAGTACCTCAGTTTTCATTTGGTCTGTCACTTACGACTCACGGGCTAAAGTTCTACAGAGGGGCCTTCTGTGTTCCCTGTGTCCTCAGAGAGGAACAAAGCACTCAAAATCTCTCAGGCTGGGGAAGGCAACTGAGGAATCACCACTGAGCAAGCTACCTTGGAGAGAATTTGGCTCTAGGCACATAGTTGACATTTCTTTCTATTGACCCCCACTAAAACCACATCCTCTCCAGGGGTTCTCAAGGCCCATGTATGAGATTATTAAATGTCACTCTCCATTATTTGAAATCATGTGTAACAGCAGAGATCTAGTCTACTTAGGACTGCTGACAGGCACAGGGTTGATGCTTATCCAGCTGCTGGGATGTGGGTGGGGTTTGGGGGATTCCCTGGAAAAACTGCCATCATGCCAACCTGACCTGCTGATGGAGACGGCCTCCTGGGCAGCTAGCTCAGTCAATGGAAGGTGAGCAGCATCTTTTCTTCTCAAAGGTACCACTCAGGGATTTTTGCTCTAAATAACATGATACATATTATTTAGTGCTGGGATTAAAGGCGTGCACCACCACCACCCAGCACCAGAATTGTAATTTATGTAATTCCATATCCTTAAGAAATTAAGGTGTTGTGGGTGGTGGTGGTCACACCTCTGATCCCAGCAGAGGCAGGATCTCTGAGTTCAAGGCCAGCCTGGTCTACAGAGCAAGTCCAGGACAACCAGGGATACACAGAGAAACCCTTTTAGGAAAAAAAAGAATTCCTATGTAGCCATAGGGAACATGTCTCCTATAGATAATGCATGCACAAAATTGCTAGGAGAGTGGGACTGAGGAATCAGAAGGAATGAATCCAAGGGCACCTCAATCTCTAACTGGCTCTCCCCACAAAGTCCCTTGGCTATGATCACACCTGAAATACATTACCTAGCACAACTAGGTGTCGGGTCTTCAAGGTCCTAACACAATGTGTACTGGTTTTTGACAGCAGTTAATAGTGGCCTGAAAATCCACTAACATTTTCAAGGACAATTAAATGGCTTCCTAGATCACAACAACACTTTCCCCCTTTATCAAAATATGTAACATCCGCCGGGTGGTGGCGACGCATGCCTTTAATCCCAGCACTTGGGAGGCAGAGGCAGGCAGATCTATGTGAGTTTGAGACCAGCCTGGTCTATAAGAGCTAGTTCCAAGATGGTCTTCAAAGCCACAGAGAAACCCTGTCTCAAAAAAACAACAACAAAAAAGTAATATCCAGTATTTGTCTTCCCATCACAAAGGAGTGCTAGTACCCCCTAAACTTAGCATACTTTTGGATTATCACTGGACAAACCTGATTGCAAATGATAATCCCTTTTAGCTTCTGAAGATCAATTAGGCAGGGGCTGCATAGGGTTTCCCAGTACTTCACACAAATAAATATTTTTTTGGTAACTTTTTTTTTTCCTGGTTTTGAGACACGGTTTCTCTGTGTAGCTTTGGAGCCTATCTTGGCACTCGCTCTGGATCTGGCACCCACCCCAGGAGACTTGGTTCTACTTCTGAAATAAGCAGTGTTGTTTCAAACTGGTTGGTCCTTCTGTTTTCCACTGGAGTCGAAGAAAGTTAGGGGTCCCTTTCACTGCAACTCAAGACTCTTGTAAGCAGTTCCCACAGCAGCTTTCCAGCTGTGCCTAACCACCAGGCAGCTTCTCACCAACACTAAAGGTGGAGTGGGCACAATCACATTAAACTAAGAGGCATTTGTAAGTGAATTTAAATGCACTTTATTTTCAGACAACCTACACGACATGTTCTTTCTTTTTAAAAAAAAGAAAAGAAAAAAAACAATGTCTCCACTCCAAATAAATCATGGTCAAAATAAAAGCTCAAGATGACATCAGTCCCATTTGTCCTAAGCCCTGGTGTTGTATGGATGGCAAGCAGCAGTCAGCTATGGTGACAGGTGACAGATCCAATTTGTTACTGCAAAACAAGGAGACCACATTAAGAGCTACCCTCAGCTTCAATGCACAACTTTCCTGCCATATACATGTACTCCCCAATTCAATCTGGACTGCCACAAAGACAGGCAGGAAGCGCAGGGAGCATTTTCTTTTGCATCCTAGTGCAAACCAGAAGAACAACCACAAACTGTTCAAGGTCTATCAGTGGATGCAGACTACCACTCACAAAGCCAGCAGCACTCATCTTTCTGCAGATTACAATCAGGGCTCTTAACAGCAGCCACTGTCTGCGCACCACCCCAGCCACTCATCTCAGACTGTCTCCAGTACAGCTCTAAGCTCACCTTCCACCCAGCCTACTCCAAAGCCTCTAAAACCTAGTTCCTTATAGAAGACAATTCTGTATTTAATTTCACTAAGCTTCATCCATTCAGAAGAAATCCGGTGGTACAACACGAAATGGTCTTGAACCCACTGTGGGAGAGGCAGGCCTGCAAGGCCACTCATTCTGCACACCATCACTTATCCCAGGCTAGTGTCAAACTACGTGCTGCCTACAGATGGCCAATATCACAGCTTCCTGCCCTCACTTGGTAGTTTCTCTTAAGTTACTCTACCTCCAGGCCCATTTATGTTTAAAGGCACTGTTCTCTTTAGAACCCACAAGATAAAGGAGCCTATCTTACCAACTACACGGTTTCTGTAAAGCCCATGCCTACCACCTGCAGATGGCAAAGATCACTCCTAATTTCAACATATACTTACACATTTCTCCATCTCTAGGCCATCCTTAAAGAAAATCATGAATGGGGTCACACCATCTTCACGGTAGTCCAGGAGAGCAACCATGCCATCTGGATTCATGTTCTCACCAATAAAAAACTTAAAAAAAAGTAACAAATACCTAGAATTAGAATGTTATGTGCTCAAAAACACAAATCAAACCACAAAAGGGAGATTCAGGCTAACTTTTTGGCAAGTAAGAGCCTGGATGCTAGCCAAGTGTGTGTTAGCACACACCTTTAATCTCAGCACTCAGGAGGCAGAGACAGGGTTCAAGGTCAGTCAGGTTTTCAATGAAAAGAAAGTCCACATGCCTTTAATCTTGGAGGCTGAGGTGGGTGATCTTAGGGAGCTCAAAGCTATCCTGGTTTTATATGGTGAGTTCCGGGTCAGGGCCATGTACAGACATAACAAAACAAATCCTGGCTGTCCCTGTGGTTAAGATTGTACAACCCTTTATTTACCTGGTAGTTATTGAAATTAGCAAGGATGTGCTTAATTTGCTCTGCAGCCCCAGTCATAAAAGGCTTTACTCTTTCAGGTTTCTGTTCTTCAAGTTTGCCTTTGAGTCTAAAACAGTAAATTTCAAAAGGTCATTAAAACATCGAACTTTCAGCAAAATTATTTTTCCCAGTAAGTAAAATACAAGTCTCAACCTATAAACAAAAAGGCTACTGGCCATGAGCAAAATGATGCATTACATTACTCTGTGGCAGAAGAAAATGTAGTTTTAAGCTTATTAACTTTTAAAGAGTTTCTGTTCTTCAAAGTTAAAGCTGGACTGATTACTCCAGTATGCTCACTTTACTGGAAAGCAACCATCATTGTATAACCCAACATTGTATAACACTGAGAAAGGCCCTCCCTCATAACCAAGGAAGTAGACGAAAGTCTTCTAGGGCCCTGACCACCAAAACAGGGTGTTTATCTCACTTACGATTTCATGTAATCTTTGATGTACTTTTTGTAGGCCTCTTTTGTGAAGCTGGTTTCTTGTAAGTGGTGGTTCATGACAATATCGACACCGGTGACTACTGTGCTTTCGGTTCCTTCGCCCTCTGGGCCTTCGGCGGAAGCATTTCCACCAATGAGCGAGTCATCGATGTTACCTTCTGTTCTACTGACCATCTACGTTAAGAAAAAAGAAAATTATTGCAAAAAGCACACCTCCAACTTACCTTTTCTACACTCCGGCAACGATCTGTCAGTTCCCCGAAACACCTCAACCCAACAAAAAAGAATCCTCGCCCGGACCGACAACAATTGTCACTCGGAAGAAGGAAGTTGTGGGCTCTCGGATCGCCACGGGTTAAGCGCGCACAGCGCCAAGATATGTTAAACAGAGACAATACGTCCCCGATCGCCCGGAAGGAGGATGGGCGCTGAGTTCGCGGACCTATTTCCAGGCTCGGCTCCGCCTCCACTTTTCTAGAAAAACCCGAGGCCGGAAAGAGCGTCTCCTCCGCCTGGAGGCGGCTGGGAGGATTGCACGAGCTCCAGCGGGAGAGCCGC